CAGCTATTTTGTAGGCCAAGTTGGCTATTCTTATGGTTGTGTTTCAGCAAGCAGGAAAGAGGAAAAGGAGAGCAAAGAGAAGGAGAATAATAAAGATTAGAGCAGAAATAAATGATATAGAAGCTAGGAAAACAGTAGGACAGATCAATGAATCCAGGAGCTAGTTCTTTGCAAAAATTAATAAAATTGAGAAACCCTTAGCCAGACTTATCAAAAAGAAAAGAGAAAGGACCCAAATAAAATCACAAATGAGAAAGGAGAAATAACCAACACCACAGAAATACAAACAATTGTAAGAGAATATTATGAAAAATTGTATGCCAACAAATTGGACAACTTGGAAGAAATGGACAAATTCCTAGAAACATATAAACTACCAAAACTGAAACAGGAAGAAATAGAAAACTTGAACAGACCATAACCAGCAAAGAAATTGAAATAGTAATCAAAAATCTCCCAACAAACAGAAGTCCAGGACCAGATGGCTTCCCAGGGGAGTTCTACCAAACATTTGAAAGAAATTTAATACCTATTCTTTTCAAACTATTCCGAAAAATAGAAATGGAAAGAAAACTTCCAAAATCAGAATATTCTATGAGGCCAGCATTACCCTGATACCAAGACCAGACAAAGACTCCACTAAGAAAGAGAACTACAGGTCAATAGACCTGATGAACATGGATGCAGAAATTCTCAATAAAATACTAGCAAATAGAATCCAACCGTACATTGAAAAAATCATTCACCACAATCAAGTGGAATTTATTCTTGGACTGCAGGGGCAGTTCAATATTTGCAAATCAACCAATGTGATACACCATATTAATAAAAGAAAGGATAAGAACCATATGATCCTTTCAAAAGATGCAGAAAAAGCATTTGACAAAATACAACATCCATTCATGATAAAAAAAAAAAAAGTAGGGTTAGAGGGAACAAACCTCAACATTATAAAGGCCATATATGAAAAATCTACAGCTAATATCCTCAGTGGGGAAAAACTGAGATATTTTCCTTTATGGTCAGAACAAGACAGGGATGTCCACTCTCACCCCTGTTATTTAACATAGTACTGGAAGCCCTAGCCTCAGCAATCAGACAACAAAAGAAATAAAAGGCATCCCAATTGGCAAGGAAGAAGTCAAGCTTTCACTATTTGCAGATGACATGATACTCTACAGAAAATCCGAAAGACTCCACCAAAAAACTGCTAGAACTGATACACGAATTCAGTAAAGTCTCAGGATACAAAATCAATATACAGAAATCTGTTGCATTTCTATATACCAATAATGAAACAGCAGAAAGAGAAGTCAAGGAATCAATCCCATTTACAGTTGCAGCAAAACCCATAAGATACCTAAGAATAAACCTAACCAAAGAGGTAAAATGTATGTACTCTGAAAACTTTAAAACACTGAAGAAAGAAATTGAAAATGACACAAAGAAATGGAAGGATATTCCATGCTCATGGACTGTAAGAACAAAAACTTTTTTTTAAAGATTTTATTTATTTATTTGAGAGAGAGAGTGAGAGGGAGAGAGCACAAATGGGGTGAGGGGCAGAGGCAGAAGCAGATTCCCCACTGAGCAAGGAGCCTGATGCAGGGCTCGATCCTGGGACTCCAGCATCATGACCTGAGCTGAAGGCAGACACTTAACCAACTGAGCCACCCAGGCACCCTGGAAGAACAAATATTGTTAAAATGTCTATATTACCCAAAGCAATCTACACATTGAATGCAACCCTTATCAAAATACCACCAGCATTTTTCACAGAGCTAGAACAAACCATCTTAAAATTTGTATACAACCCCGAATAGCCAAAACAATCTTGAAAAAGAAAAACAAAGTTGGAGGTAAAGTGGGAGAGCTAGGTTCTTGTCTCACGGAATCGAAGAATGAATCTCACAGACAAAAGAAGTGAGTAAAGCAATAGAATTTCATTAAGGATACAGAAAAAGCTCTCAGGAGTGAAAGGGATCCCGACAGGGTTGCCACTGAGGGCTTTTAGGGTTGGTCTTTTATAGAAAGCTAACCAGGGAACTTAAATCTTTTTGACTTCTCTACTGGCAGCACTATTGATTAAGGACTAGTGATAACATCTTTCATGGCTTACTTCTTTTTAGGGTCTGGTTATTTTCTGTTGACCACAAGAGACTGTCATAAATAAGACTTCCCCTTTGAACACCTAGGGCAGGGTATCCTGGAGTGTTCCCTTATCTCTGGTTTCCTTATACCTCCACATTTTTGGAATCTCTGTGAGCCTGATTGCATAGCCCCCTTACCTATTTCTCCCTACCTAGCCCCACCTGTCCCTTTCTCAGAGGCATCACCTTTCTGAACTTCAAGTTGTATTACAAAGCTGTAGTGATTAAGACAGTATGGTACTTGCACAGATCAATGGAACAGCATAGAAAGCCCAGAAATGAACCCATAAATATATGGGCAATTAATCCTCAACAAAGCAGGAAAGAATATCCAATGGAAAAAGACAGTCTCTTCAATAAATGGTGTTGGGGAAACTGGACAGCAACATGCAAAAGAATGGACTGGACCACTTTCTTATACCATACACAAAAATAAATTCAAAATGGATTAAAGACTGGGGTGCCCGGATTGGGCATCCAACTCTTGATCTCAGCTTGGGTCTTGCTCTCAAGGTTGTGAGTTTGGGCCCTGAGTTGGGCCCCAAGCTGGGCATGGAGCCTACTTAAAAAAAATGGATTAAAGACCTAAATGTCAGACAAGAAACCATCAAAATCCTGGAGGAGAACACAGGGAGTAACCTCTTTGACATTGACCATAGCAGCTTCTTACTAGATATGTTTCCCGAGGCAATGGAAACAAAAGCAAAAATGAACTATTGGGACTTCATCAAGATAAAAAAAAAAAAACCCTCTGCACAGTGAAGGAAACAATCAACAAAACTAAAAGGCAACCTTTGGAATGGGAGAAGATATTTGCAAATGACATATCTGAGAAAGGATTAGGATCCAAAATATATAAAGAACTCATAACTGAATACCCAAAAACACAAAGAATCCAGTTAGGAAATAGGCTGAAGACATGAATAGTCATTTTTCCAAAGACAACCAGATAGCTAACAGACACAGGAACATCACTCATCATCAGATAAATACAAATCAAAACTACAATGAGATATCTCCTCACAGCAGTCAGAATGGGTAAAATTAACAAAGGAAACAACAGGTTTTGGTAAAGATGTGGAGAAAGATGAACCCTCTTGCATTGTTGGAGGGAATGCAAAATAGTGTAGCCACTCTAGAGAACAGTATGGAGGTTCCTCAAAAAGTTAAAAATAGAAATACCCTATGATCCAGCAATTGCACTACTAAGTATTTACCCAAAGGATACAAAAATACAGATTCAAAGGGACACATGCACCCTGGTGTTTATAGCAGCATTATCAACAATAGCCAAATTATGGAAAGAGCCCAAAGGTCCATCAACTGATGAATGGATAAAGAAGATGTGATATAGATATATATATATATGGATATACAGTAATAAAATATATATATATATATACCCAATGGAATATTAGCCATAAAAAAGAATGAAATCTTGCCATTTGCAAGGATGTGGGTGGAGTTAGAGAGTATTATGCTAAGCAAAATAAGTCAGTCAGAGAAAGAGGAATACCATATGATTTCACTCATGTGGAATTTAAGAAACAAAACAGATAAACAATGAGGGGGAGAGGAGCAAACCATAAAACAAACAGGATTGCTGGAGAGGAGATGGGGGGAGGGTTAAATGGGTGATGGGGATTAAGGAGGGCACTTGGGATGAGCACCAGGTGTTTTATGTAAATGATGAATCACTAAATTCTGCTCCTGAAATTAATATTACACTGTATGTTAACTAACTGGAATTTAAATAAAAACTTGAAATAAATAAGTGTGTCAGTCTTCAGATTCCTTTAGGGGGTATATGAAAAGAAATTTTTGAAGGCCACTAGCCTATATGTATTGTCTCATTTGTTCTCATTTCTTTTTTGAGTAGGTTTCTTATCTTCCCATCTAAATTACAAATTATCTTTGTGTAAGAATTACATCCTATTTTTTGTGGTTTTCCCAGAAATTCAGGGAGAGGAGCATGTTAGCAAAGTAAGGAGCTATGGAATTGAGTGGGGCAGGTGTTGACTTAAGTACCCTGGCAGTATTGCAGCTCATGCTCATGAATTTTATGTGTATTTTGCATATATTGCTCAGTTCTGCTCTTTGTCAGGGTGGTTTCCTCATCCCAAATATAATTCCTCCCCACCCAACCCCCATCTGCTATTGATGCTTAGAATTCAAATAGTGTCACATATTTTCATTCCACATTTATTCAAAATGTATACATCCTTAGGAGAGGTAACATTGATATAGAATCAGATTAGATTAATTACTTCCTGATAGCAACTTTTTATAAAGGGAGATGAGATAGAACCAAGAGGTTTACGTATTGGATCCTTGAGCTGACTGCAGACAAAGCCAAGCATCTCTTCTTTACTGAAGTGATCCTGAGGAGTAGAGTGGGTAGGACCTTATCAGTTCTGAAATGATCAACCACATCAAAATCCTCATTTCTGGGAAGTAGAGAGGCTTCCAGTACCTAGACTGACTAAGAAATGAAGATAATATTTAAGAGTGACCCTGCTAGGCCTCCAGTTTGCAGACCACCTCAAAGGAAAACTCAGCAGTCACAACTGGACTTCCCTTTGGGTGAGTGAAGGAGTTCAAACACTTCCCTTCCTGTTTCTGGTAAGTCCACATAACCAAAGCCCTTTGGCTGCAAATTTTCTTTCTTCTGGTATAGGGAAGATTTTAGTGTAGTGCCTAGAGCATAGTAGGCATCGAGTAGATGTTGGTCAAATAAACAAATCTTCAGGAAGGGAAGGGACCCCCGAGGAGTAATTGATAATGAAGTTAGATTGTCCATTAATCTGGAACCCGGGTCACTAAAGATCTTTAGTTCATTTTTCTCTGCAGCAAGTGAAAGGGAACTTTGCTAGGCTGCAGGCCTGCATCTCAGAACTCCGCATGTTCCAGAGAGAAGGCTGTTTCAGACCACCCGGCCTTTGTCTGCACCTGGCAGTACAGGATGGGCTCCAGCAGTTCAAACAGTACAGCAGACATGTGACCACAGGCGCTTCTCTGAGCTACACTTCCCTGGAGGTAAGAGATACTGGTCTTAGGACTCTAAGCCCATTCAGGCCATCTAGATGCTTCATTATTTATCACCCTTATATTGTTCTTTGTTTCATACACTTTGATGGTAATTTTCAAGGCTAGATTTTCATCTCCCTGCCAGCAAGAGATATGTTCCCTTTTTCCTATAGCCTGTGCAATTCTTTTTTTTTAAGATTTTATTTATTTATTCATGAGAGACAGAGGGAGAGAGAGGGAGAGAGAGAGAGAGAGAGAGAAGCAGAGGGAGAAGCAGGCTCCCAAGGAGCAGAGAGCCCGATATGGGACTCGATCCCAGGACCCTGGGATCATGACCTGAGCCGAAGGCAGATGCTTAACCATCCGAGCCATCCAGGCGCCCAGCCTGTGCAATTCTTAATACAGAGCTGGCATAGAGAGAAATGCTAAAAATATGGGCTGAAGTGAATTATAATGAAAAACTGAAATCAAAATAAAGTCTGAATATGCCATCTGCCTCTGGATTTTTAGAACTTGTAAAGTAATTGTTAAACTGCCTAGATTACTGCTGTATTTATATTTCTTGGGCAGGAATTTATATTTGTTCTTAATCAAATCTTGGTATCAAATTGAGTAAATTTTCTTGGACTCAGCAAATGTGCCGATTTAAAGATGGCTAAAATTCTAGTGATCAAGACAATCTTAAAAAATATAAGTAAGTCATGTCTGGGTACTCCACTGGGTGCATGAGTGACTGAGTTAAAACACATTCAACTGCATGCATCAAACAGATGCATTTTTAAAAATAACTGTGCTTTTATCTGCATCCTTCTTCATTAATCAAAAATGTCCAAGCAGGGCGCCTGGGTGGCTCAGTTGGTTAAACGACTGCCTTCGGCTCAGGTCATGATCCTGGAGTCCCGGGATCGAGTCCCACATCGGGCTCCCTGCTCAGCAGGGAGTCTGCTTCTCCCTCTGACCCTCTTCCCTCTCGTGCTCTCTCTCATTCTCTCTCTCTAAAATAAATAAATAAAATCTTAAAAAAAAAAATGTCCAAGCATTGGAGCACTTGGGTGGCTCAGTCAGTTAAGTGTCTGACTCTTGATTTCAGCTCAGGTCATGATCTCAAGATTATGAGATCAAACCCTGTGTCGGGCTCCATGCTGGTGGTGGAGCCTGTTTAAGATTCTTTCTCCGTCTCCCTTTGCACCCCCCCTCTATGTGCACACACATGCTCCCTCACTCTTTCTCTCTAAAAAAAAAAAAAAATTCCAAGCACCAAAAAAAATGTCCAAGTACAAAAAAGAATTGCATATATTTAATATTTGCCTTCCAGATTTTCAAATGCAAGACAAAACTACTAATGAAAACATACAGCATATTCATTCAGGTGAAATAAAATATTCAGATTATACACAAACACCTCAATATTCTTTCAGGTTAGATATATTGATCAAGAGTGAGTACATTTTAGAGTTAAGAAAGCAAAAGAAACAGCTCACCCTGTATCCAGGTTGAACAAGGAGAGAAATCTATGTGGAAGTACCACCATGAGAAAAAAGCACAGAGGCCCTCTGATAGTACACACTTAGTGGAATTTAAGGATTCTGTTTCCTTTGTTGCCTTGTAAAATCAAAGTATTTTGAGCATGAGAGATGCTATCAGTGCTTCAAGCAATCTTAAAAAACTAAAACACAGGGTTGTTTTCTCACTGGTCACTTTCTGGGGTAGGCCTCACCTGTTTGGAAGGGTCCTGTGATGATTTATCCCACCAGATCTCTCCCACCAGAATCTGTCAAATGAAATTTGATTTGTAAGTTACCATGAAATCTTCTTCTTTGCTTCAAAGACAATAGCCACTGCCACAGACTTCTGCTGTGTCTATCCTCCCGATCTAACCTGCTATGTTCTTCACTCTGTACATTAGAGAAAGTAGACACATTGATTCTTGGATTTATTTCCAGATTACTGTTCTGACTTCCCTGCCTGGAAAAGAGGTGGTCAAACAATTGGAGGAAGGATTGAAAGATACGGACCTAGTAAGGGTCAGGAGACTTCAGGTGGTTGAGATCACAAAGGGAGTCCTAGAGTATATGGACTCAGTGTCCCCGGCTGAAGAGCCTAGCAGTGATGGTAAGAATTAAAGGAAAAGGTAAAAAGAATTTTAATGAGTAGTCAAGAAGATTATTTTCCATGGTCTTTTTGTTCTTCAATGAAATGAAGCCAACAGATTTTACTACGGTTCAGACAGGTGTTTCTAAGTGTACATATAGGCCTAATATATATTAAATATATATTTACTATTTTAATGGGATCATGACATACATAATATTCTATAACCATCTTTGTGCATTGGACAGCTATCTGTGTTAGTATCTATAGATCTGTCTTATTTTTTACTGGCTACATGATTTTCTTACTGTGTGGTTGGACCATAGTTTGTTTAATCACTTATTAATGAATAATTTGGTTTATTACCCTTTGCTATTATAGCCAATGCTGAATAAACAGACTTATATACAGGGCTGGTTTCATGGACTTATGACCAGTATAGTCACACAGGGCCCGGCATTCAGAAACACCCTGTGCTTGGGATTTAATGCTCTTTGGAGCTTTGCGCAGTGGCAGTATCGTAGCCAATGAGGTTTATCCAAGGCGCGATTATTGCTAATGCTCTTTGGTTGCTCTCTTAAAATTCTTAATAATTTTATCTTTGAATTTATATTTTATAAGTGAAGTTTTATGGAACAATGGAGTGTGTACCAGGGGATTAGAGTCTTAGCTCACACATGCCCTGTCTCCTGTGTCCTTCCCACCTCCCCATAATGGGGTTCTTAGTTGCTAGCTTCCCAGCTCTGGTATCCCCAACCTGCCTACCCCAACCCGGCAACCACTCGTGCCCAGGTCCCTACCAATAAATCCTACATAAATCACTAATAATTCTAAATTTCCTAGAACAGGAAATATTCAAACTGAGTCTTAAAGAACATATAGGAATTAGTCATGTAGAGGAAGAAGAAAAGAGCACTCAAAAAGGAGATGTAGGAGCATGAGAAAGCAAGATTAATCAACTTTCAGGAAGTGCCCATGGTTCCCTATGACTAGAGCCGGTCAGGCAGAAGCAGGAGTAAGTCTATAAAGGTAGGCAAGGATTTGATCAAGAAAGGCCATATATGCCATTCTAAGACATTTAGATTTCATTCTAAGGCAGTGAAAATTTATGAAAAGATTTTGGTCAGAAAGTTAAGGAGAGATTCCCAAATTATGGAGTTTAAGAGATTTTTAACCAGTTTTAATTTATCCAACACTCAAGTTATTGTTCACCCTTCAGCGGTCCTTTCTGGATGTATTGGCCCTCTCCAAGGTTGTGCACATGGAAGGAGCCCCTGTTCTGATACTATTGATCTCTTCCTGGTCACACTTGGATAACCCACTAATTAGGTGAGAGAGTTAGAAACTAAGGATGTGTTTCTCCTCAAATCCTGAGACGTGGATCCTTCCAGCATCATGAGGCCACTGACATTGTTCTGGTCCAGGAGGAAGGATAACCAGCCTTAGCTGTGTCATTTATGAGCTCTCATCCACTTGGCACACCCTGCTTTTCTCAAGCCAGTCTCCTCACTGAATGTCTTTCTTTCTCTCTCCATCTCTTCACTTAAAGCTGTCTTTTCCTTTGAATTCCCTCTTCTTTCCTCTGAGTTCTTTCCCTTATCCTCTTCCAGCCAAATACTCCCCATCCCTTAAGGCCTAATTCATGTTCCTGATTACTATGTTGATTTTCCTCTCCTTAGAACAACAATATCACTTGTGGTCTGTACCAAACAATTTGGCACTTGATTATATGCCATGGAAAATTGTTCACCATTGTTTGATTGTGTGATAATTTTGTCTTCTCATCAAATCTGTAAACTACTTGATACCTTTTCTTTCTGAATTAAATTCTAAGTGCCTTGGGATTAGGAATTTGTCTTTATTATTTCTGTGTCCCAGTGTGTAGAATATCCTAGATTACAGGAGATATTTGTTGAATGAATTGATGAAAATGATACCTGTGGAGACAGTTCTTGGTCTGCCCAGCATCCCCTGAATCCCCATTCTCTAGTAACACCTCACCTTCCTGGTGAAAGAGTGCGCCATGACCCAGGTGAGGCCATCATAATTCCTCAGGCCACCAGAGTCCTCCCTAGTAGGTTCTCAAACTGAATCTGTGAGAGAGAAGCTCTTTTTCTTTCTCTTTGGCCATGGATATATCAGGCATGGACTATGTCCTTTTCTCCCTTCGGTGACTGTATCCAGTAAGAATTTCCTGTATCTGTCGTGGCACGGAGCTCAGAGTACTTGGAGACCACTGGATGCCTTTATTTAGAATATTTGGATAGAAGAGCTTTTACATTCAGGAAGACAGCTTTCTACCTTGTGTCACTGCTGTTGGTCTTCCAGTAACCTCCTGTTTGCTTATAAATAATACATCATCCCATAAATTGCTTGTAATTCCTCTTTGTGGTTAAGTATATGTATGGTTCATAGCTTGAATCTTCCCAGTTTGCCTATACTTTCTTCATAATTACTTTATTCCATTGATGTTTGCCTCATCTTGATGTCCTTAGGAAGAGATTAGCAAAAGCAACTTCTCTCATTCTCAAAAAGATGAGTACTCCAGAATCAGGTTGTCTGAGTCTAAACCCCAGTTCTATCACTTACTAGCTGTGCAACTTTGAGCAAGATACTTAGTCTGTCTAAGCCTTAGTTGCTAATTCCTGCCCTATGCAGTAGTTGTGTGTATTAAATGAAATGATGTGTGTTAATTAGTACATAATAAATGTTCAGTAAAATCAGCTGATCTTGTTAATATTTCTGAAAATTTTTGCATATGGGTAGTTTAATATTTCTGAGATTTGTTTTTATGGCCAGATCCCAAGTGGACTATAAGTTACCTGAGGATAAGACTGTATCTAATGCATCTTTGTATCACCAGCATTTATACCGTTCAGCCTGGCACATAGTAGATTCTCAATAAATGTTTCTTTTTTTTTAAGATTTTATTTATTTACTTAACAGAGAGAGAGCACAAGCAGGGGAAGCAGCAGGCAGAGGGAGAGAGAGAAGCAGGCTCACCGAGCAGGGAGCCCGATGCAGGGCTCAATCCCAGGACTCTGGGATCATGACCTGAGCCGAAGGCAGACGCTTAACAACTGAGTCACCCAGGCGCCCCTCAATAAATGTTTCTTGAAAAATAAGTGAATGATTGGAGAAAACCAAATGATTTGGGAGAGGTGATGGTCACCTTCTCTGACATCAACTCAAATAGTTAGGTCCCTATGTCAAACACTCATAGCTTCCCTTTGTAACCCATGAATATCATGAATTAATTCAAGCACTTCTTGAGTCTATTTATAATTTTCTTTTTAACTCTGGTAACCATGATCATCGATTAAAGGAAAAGTATCTCTACTCCACTTTTAGAGAGACCAGTTACAGGGAAATGTTGATGCAGATTCGTTTAAAAAGTAACTATGAGAGTATGTCCTTCAATCAGTCAAAATTCTGTCCCCTTTAGTGCAGTCCTGTGCAGTGAGAACTAATTATAAGGATGACTTGGAGAATGCAAGATCCAGAATCATCAAAATAAAAATGAACTTAGAAATGAAAAAAGTAGACTCACATTTTAGAAGGTTTTTTGACAAAATCTAAAATGAAAAGATTAACTTTATTTTTATTTAAAGATCTTATTTATTTATTTGACAGAGACACAGCGAGAGAGGGAACACAAGCAGGGGGAGTGGAAGGGGGAGAAGCTGGCTTCCCGCGGAGCAGGGAGCCCGATGCGGGGCTCGATCCCAGGACCCTGGGATCATGACCTGAGCTGAAGGCAGACGCTTAATGACTGAGCCACCCAGGTGCCCCCAAGGCACTTGTTTGCGATCTTCAGTGGAGGAACAGCTCTTCAGGCAGCCAGGGACAAAGATGAGCTCTCTCGGGAAATTTGACAGAGAGAGAGAGAATGACCGCACAAGCAGAGGGAGAGGGAGAAGCAGGCTCTGCACTGAGCAGGGAGCCTGATGCGGGACTAGATCCCAGGACCCTGGGATCATGACCTGAGCCAAAGGCAGACGCTTAACGAATGAGCCACCCAGGTGCCCTGAAAAGATTAACTTTAAATCACATTTGTATCAGTTAAATTTTTCTATAAATATTCAGACCATATAGCTTATTATATATTTTCCTCCAACCACATAAAAGGTGCTTTTTTTTAAAAGATTTTATTTATTTGAGAGAGAGAGTGAAAGAGAGAGCAGGAGCAGAGAGAGGGACAGAGAGGGACAGAGGGAGAAGCAGACTCCCCACTGAGCCGGGAGCCCAATGTGGGACTCAATCTCATGATTCTGGGATCATGACCTGAGCTGAAGGCAGACACTTAACTAACTGAGCCACCCAGGTGCCCCATAAATGGTGCTTCTTTCATCTGTTCCTGCTTGGTCTAACTGGTATGTTTTTTCTTTATTTTAAAACTTAGCTGAAAGATCCAGTCTAGCTCTCTTTGTAGTAGCTTTTATCTGGTCATTTTACCATTTTTTATTACAAGTTGTACAAACGTAAACATTGCATAAGTATAATATAGACTGTTCAAATGACCCAAAATTCTGCTCTCCAGAGATAACCACCATTAGTGTAGGGCACATTCTGCTGAATAATTTTCCTTACATGTACATGGATATGGACACACATGTAACATTATTACAGTACTCACTGTTCTGTCTGCATTTTTATTTTTTCCATTTGGCTAATTATCCAATATTTTTTTTCACATTGACTCACAGAGAACTAATATATTCCTTTTAACATCTGTGAGGCATTTTACTGTATAAATTCATCACTATTTATTCAACCATCCAGTTGGATTTTTACATTTTACTGAAGAACTACATGACCTTGAACAGTTATTTAAACTTTTTATTCCACAATTTTTTGTTTACAAAATAGGGCTAATAAGAGTAGCTGCCTCATAGGGTTTTTATGAGGATTAAATACATCTTACATGCAAAGCACTTAGAACAGTGCCTGGCACATGTGAGCAGTAAATAAACCTTATCTGTGATATTTATAGTAGTAACAGTATGGGATGCTGGGGTGGC